CCCTCTGCAAACAGAAGCCTGTTGGTCCTCTCAGCTCATCACCCCACAGCATGGCCCCATCCCAAACCAGCCATCGTGTGCCCAGGTTCAGGTCCTCCCCAGACACTGCACTAATGAAGTTTTGTTTAACAACATTTTTTTGAACCTTTAGGGAAATTTGAGTGGGAAAAACACAATGTCAACCAATCATTCACATTTCGAGGCTCTAAAGTTCAAAGCTCAATTTTGGAGCTGGGATAGTTTCGGAGGAACTTTTTTCCTGAATTCTGATTTCTCTGAAATGTACAACATTCTCTGCAAAACGCGGATGAAATTCCTTGTCATAGAAAGTTTCCAGCAGGAGAAGACAAATGTGTTTCCCAGCCAGGCTGTGGATGCCTGACAGACTCCCAAGGCTCTCCCTGCGCGGTGAGAAGCACTAATGAAGAATTCAATCTCTGAACTTGATTAATTACGGCTGCACTGTTGGGTATTCCCAGGGCATCCTCAGAACTCCTCGATCCTGCCCCGTGTGTGGGAGGCACATCGTAATCTCTGGGCTGGACTCTGCCCAGCACTGTTCCCTGTTGTTTTCCCCATCATCCTCACCTCAAGGACAGGCTGGAGAGTGGCCAAGTGGGTTCAGAGGTGCCCCATGTCCCCAGGATCTTGTGAGATCTGGGCATCTAAGACCAGGTGCCTCACAAGAAACAGCAGTGAGGGGATGAGTTGAGTGGGGTGCAGCTCATCCAGGGGATGGTGGGGAGCATAGAGAATGTAAAAAACTTATTGAAATGTGGCTGCTGGGGGTCTTGCCCTGGTAGTGGTGTCTCTGACTCTCTGCAGCATCACAGTAAGAAGCACATGCTGGCACAGAGCAGCCTAAAAAGGCCAATAAAACAAACCAGGCAGGATTTGGTTTCTCAGGAGCAGCTGAGACTTGGAGGGAAAAAAAAAAAAGACATGTAAAAGTTCCTGCAGCAAAACCGTGGGGGAAAACACCAAACACAGCCTCAACCTTAAAGGGATCAGAGTGGGCAGGGTGTATTCAACAGCAGCCACATCAGCTGACAGAAGGGCAGCATGACACACTAATTGGCCTGTGCTAATGAGGGGCTAAAGCCCACTCCATCCCCCTACTCAATTCACGCCTGACAGGCCCTGAATGCCGTGGAGCAGGTCAGTGGTGGAGGGGGCTCACGGCCTTTGGAAAAGCCTGTGGAAAACACGTGTCCCGGCTTGGGGCTGCCTGCCCATCTGCGTGCTTTGCTCTGGTGGGTCCACTGCCACCTGCCACCGTGGGCTACACAAAAGGTCACCTCAGGATGGGCTGGGAGCTGCCAGGGAGCTAGAGCCCCAGTGGAGATGCCAGCAGGAGGTTGGGGGACAATGGGAAGTGCAGGCAGAGGCAGGACTGTGGGTATGGCCAGCATGGCCGAGTGTGCAGCACCAACACCCTCTGGCTTCCTCCCTCTCTCCCTCCCTCCCTCCCTCCTTCTCACACACCATAACTGAGCCTTGGCTGACACCCAGGCTTTCCCCCAACACCGACCTCCCCGGGAGGACAGTGGTGGCTCTACAAGATGAGGCGTCACGATTTCAAATGTAAAAACACCCATTCATATGGCCCCTGCTGACCAATTCCCGCTCCAACAGCTATTACTGAGGACTCCAAAGACTGGGTAAACAGGAAACGTTTTCCACACATCCCGTTTCACTCCTGCGGCTCCGCTGCTGAGGCCAGAGCAGTTCCGCTCCGTGCCTGGCTCTGCGTGCACATAGAGGTGTGGGTGGATGATGTCCCTGTCATGCCCTGTGACCTGCACTCATCCCGGGGCAGAGGACACGGGAGAGATGGCACAGGACCAAGCAGTGGTTGTTTCAGATGATAAAATTTGAGTGTAGCGTTTTGGGGAGGATTCCAGGAGCTGTTGAGAAGGCTCTGCACATTATAGGGATGAGCCTGTGTGTCTGCTGATGGTGGAGAAAGCTCTCAGCTCTGGACCTGAGCTCCCAGTGCTCAGCATTTCTGATCTGAACGGAGCATCCAGCGCTGCCTCATCTCACAGGTGACACGTGCCATCCATGTGAACCCTGTGCCTTTCCACGGGGAGATGATGCTTAAAACTCATCACCAACTAGAAAACCACAGGGAGATAGACCCTCCCTATAGGTTAATGTGTGCACAACAGCATTTCATGCACAACCGAGCACCCCCCCACACACACACAAAACACACACACTCTTTTGCCTCGAGGAGACTCCCCTGGACAGGTGTGCTCCCACAGAATCCACCAGCTGGGAATGCTTGCTGCCAGCAGCACACGATGTATACAATCACCTATTGCTGGAGAGGATGATGGGCAGCAGAAAGCAGCCTTTAAAACCCTGTCTGCCAAGGAAAACAAGAGGGGGCTTTCTTTAGCCATGCATTTATGTAAATAAACACAGGAATATTTTGCAACTCCCAGGGGACTTGCCCAGAGTACTGTTTTGCTGAATCAGGGTGGGAGTAATCCTGTGCTCACCGTGAGCCTGCGCACAACTGGAAGGACCCCGGCACGTGCGGCACGAGCCAGGGACACAGCCCTGCTCCAGGGGAGCCCCACATGGCACGTGTCCCTAAACCCACACCATGTGCTCTGCCAGGATAGGGGCAGAACCCACGGGCTGCCGTGGGGGTCTTGAGGGTTGACATATAATTGCCACCACCACAGCCTTCATCCTTCTAAAATGTCTCCTTTCTTAGCATGGTCCGGATCAAAGGTTCAAAATCCAATTAAAAACTGTGTTGTTCCTCCTTTGGTCGCCCAGAACCAAGGTCACACATACACGTGTATTAAATTTGGAATTATAATCAGTTTTGCCCCAGAATGGGCTTGAAAATCAGGGCACCAGGGCAGTTGTTTTCATGCTTCTCTGCCGCCCGGCCCTGAAGGCGCCATCTTTGCTGGGTGACGTCCTGTAGGTTTTGTCACCCAAACTGCGTGTACCTCACTCCTTTCCAGCACAGGCACAGTGTGACGGGGGTGACAAGCCATCCAGCAAACTGACTGACCACAGTGCTGTAACCCAAATTTCAGGGGGTCACAAATACCCCAGAACACGCTCCGCTGGTGCGTAACACCAACATGGCCCCTCATGACAAGATGGCCGCCAACCCCGCCATGCTTGGCACGAGCTGTGAGGGAGGATGGGGATCCCCACTTGCCGCCGATCCACCCCCTCTGAGGGGGAATGAGTGGTGTCTGTGGTGGGTGCTGCCGAAATGTGCCCCAGCGAGGCGGGAGGGCGGGGGGCAGGAACCCATCTTACGCCTGGTGTGAGGCACAGGAGGGAGCCCGGGCAGCCGCCCTGTCGCTCCCTGTGTCCCCGGGGACTCGTGTCTCCCTCCTTTCTGTTTCAGCCCCCCGTGTCCATCCCTGGTGGTCACGGTGTGGGGGTGCCGCCCCTCAGCCCCTCTCCCTCTCAGGGTGCGGGGCGGCCGTGTTTGTTCTCCTCGCGGCGCCTGTTATCAGCTCACAACACACACAGGAAGTCCTGTCTGGGATTGTCCATCCCCGGCCTGATTTATACAGGAAGAAAAGCATAAAAAGCCGCCCTTCCACCTCAGCAGCCACCTCCTGCCTGTGCGTGGCCGGCAGCTGGCCATGCTGGGGCCACCAGGCAGGTGCCTGGGCCCGCTGGACCCGGGGTGGCCGGGCAGGGATGGCCACCGGGAGCCATCTGGGAGCACAGCACTGGGGCTGCTCCCAGCGCAGCGGGGGACAGTGGGGTGCCACAGGTACTGTAGAGCCATAATGGGAATGGGGTGGATGGGATGGGATGGGATGGGATGGGATGGGATGGGATGGGATGGGATGTGGGGCTGGCGCTGGGGCAGCGGGAGTGTCCTTGCCAGGTGAGACCCTGCGGGCTCTGGGTGGTTTTGCCCCTGCTGAGGCAGAGATGATGGTAGGAGCGTGGAGCAAACAAGGGCGTAAAGGATCTTTTGGAGCACATGGGTGTGTAAAGCATCCTTCAAAGCACAAGGGTGTGTAAAGCGTCCTTTAAAGCAGAAAGGTGTGGAGAGCATCCTCCACCTGAGCTCCTGGTGCGGCTGTCTGCTTTGCTCAGAGTGGAGCTCAGCCTCCAGCACTTTTATTTTTAATTCACCCCACTGGCACTCGGGATGTTTTCCAGGAGCAGAGAACTCCACGGGTAAATTTTACCTCCTGTGCGTGTAGAGGCTGCAAACACTTGCACAAATTCCTGTGAGATGGCTGCAAATTCTTAGCAAATCTCTTCACTTTCCGTTACTCTTTCCCTTTTTCCTTTGCCTGCTCTCTGACCACTGATACACCACCGCACTGTCCATCCTTCTGCCCGTGTTCCCTGCCTGCCGGTCTCCTCTCTGTGCTGCCAAATTCAGCCCCAGATCCAGGCAGGATGAGGGGCAGGACAGGGATGTGGGCAGGGATTCTCCTGCCTGTCACACCAAGGCTTTGTCCTGCCTAACAGCCGAGCCTGGAGTGTGCCGGGTGTGCATGCCTGGAGCTCAGCAAAGCCTTCCAAATTTACAGCCATGGAGCCGGCTGATTTTCATGCTGTCTGTTTTCAGCTACCTGCCTGTATTTTGGGATAAAAGAGCAGCTGAGATACCACACCAGTGAATACTCTCAATAGAAATAACCCAGCATACTTTTTCCAAGGGTCTAACATTCGTGGAATCAATTCGCTGAGCAGAGAATAAAAAAATAAGAAGAAACAACAAGGCTTTGTCAGTGATGAAATCAATTTAAGACTGGATTGGGAAGCTGTGCGAGGCAGAAGTCCAAATGTGGTGGCTGGATCCTGAGCATCCTCAAAAATAATCCACCTCTGGGCAGGAGTGGAAAACATGGAGTCTGTCCTGGCAGAGTCTCAGTATTCTTCCCTGTGATCTGCCGATGGAGTTACTCCCCCCTCTCTGCTGTTCCACTACCATCTCTCACAAGTTTCCCTGGAGGTAAGAAAGAGAAAATGAATCTGGTCTGGAGGCTCATTTGAGGTATTTCCCAGGCTCTGCTGCTGCAGATGGGGCTGGCCCGGGGGAGGCAGATTTACAAACTGCAACAAATTAGGGTAAACCAACCTGCCTCACAGCCCCACCAGCAGCAGGGGGGCATGGCAAAACACCAGGGGAGAGGTCTCAGACCAGACAGGGAAAGAAAAGCGTCTCTGCAAAGAGAAGGGGGTGATCAGAAATATTTTCTTTTGCTCTGTCCTCTCTCCCGAAGGGAGCTCTTGGATCCCCATCCTGCTCATAGCCTGTGAGGTGAGGGCAGAGAGGAGCTCTGCTTAGTACAGGTTCCTGGAGCTGGAGATTTTCTCCTGGAAGAGAAGGATAATCAGAGCAAAAATCAGAGCATTTCTTGTGGGAAATGCTCTTTGCTGAGCTGCTCCCTAGGATGGTCACGGTTCAGGGACCAAGCTGTCCTGCATCTCCCAGCTATCCCACTGCACTTCCCATGCTCCCCTCTGGAATGATTCACTGGGGAAGTGGGGTGGGGGACCATTCCCTGCTGACTAATGCCGTGTTTTGCCAGGGAAATTTCACAGAAAGCTGCAAAATTCAGTTTATTCCTGGGTGGGATGAATCATTTCCCAGTTTTTACACTGCAGCCACTGCTGCCTTCTCTAAATGTAAATAAGAGCTCAAGTGTGCATGCAAAGGAAAATAAACCTAGCTATGGGATGTTGCCCTGTTCTTGCATTTGTTTTTGCACAGCTGCAGCTCGGCTGCTGGTTGTCCCCATGGTCACCTTAAGTTATAACACACCTGTCCTGAGACACTTAATGCTTGTTAAGTCCTTAACTCAGGCAAAAAAAATACCACTTTGTGGGGCTCCAGTCTCGGTTATAATACACAGAGCCCTGGGCAACTGGTGACAACAGACTGAGAGCTACAGGCCAAGTACCTTTCTTGGTTTGACCTGTTTTTATCCCACTGCCATCAGTGGACTCATCTAGATTTCCACTGAGATAACTGGTCTGCAGCTGACGCAGCTGAGAACAATATAGGACATAATAGAATAGTGGGAGGTCGTTTTCCTCACAGAGCTCTGCAGAGCAGGGGCTGCTCCAAAGCCTCAACTCAAGTGTAAAGTTTACAAACAGCCTTATGAAAAACCTGAGCAGAAGAATTTGTCCTAGAACAGGAAAAGCCATTCCCCCCTTTTTTTGAGAAGCACCAAAAATTCCTATTGCTTTAGCAAGTGCTTCCAGTTCTGTGCCAGACCCCCGCAGAGGCCAGCGAGAGCCCATTGTCCACAGCAGGTACGGGGTCAGCCAGGGCTTGTAGCAGCTGAAAGGTTTTGCATCTGTATGTGTGTCACTCTCCTGCCTGTCCCCCCATCCATCTGCCATTTCAGCACCTCTGGCCCCAGTTTGGGGCAGCACTCGTGTGCCTGGGCACGTCCCGTTTTCTGTGATGGGATGGAAGTGCTCCTCTCTGATGTGGGACTTTAGTGCTGACCTCCTATTAATTCTCCTCTGTTATCATTCCTTTTTTGTGCCTACAGAGCCAGAGCAAAGTTAAGTCCCCCCATCCCCAGATACCTCACACCCTCCAAGCTCTCCTATCACACAGGGGACCACTTCCAGCCCACAGCTCCGTGCCTTGATCCACCACAGATGCTCTCAGGGGGATGTTGGATGGCCAGGCAGGTGCATTGGGCTTGGCAGGTCTGTGGGACAGGCTCTAGGAAACAGGGGGGTGGGTGAAAATCTGACTTTTGCAGCCAGCCCAGTGCTCAGCCTGAGACCTGCTCCAGGCCAGCACTCGGTGTCCTTCACAGCTCACGCTGGTGGTAAAACCAGTGGGAGACAAGGAGGTTTTGACATTGTTAAATCTAAGAGGGAGGTTGGGCAGAAACATTTCTTTCTTGGCCTGGAGACAGGCATTAATATTAGATGTCATGGGAGTACACTTCTAGTGTGTGAGGGAGAAAGCTGTGGGGGAAAAATGTAAAACATTGGTCAAGGGAGGACTTCAAATTCAGACAGCCTTGCAGGCAGGAGCCAAAATCCCTTGCTGCCTTTGTCAGAAGCTCATTACACTGACCTTAACAGTGCCAACAGATCTGATCTTCCCCCACTCTGAACTGGCATAACTCCTGCTTCCAAGGGAACTTTGCCAGGCAGTGTCCTGGGGGATTTCCTCCCAGCATAATGAATATTAGCACATAAGACACCTAACCCTCCCCAAGAGCAGAGGATTAAATGCTCTTTTAATGGGCTATAAGCAGTTCTTTAGCAGCTGACACGGGCACTTGCTTGAGTAAAGATTTGACCCAATAAATGGAATTGCGAAGCAAACATTTTGCAATTAAAATACTGGCAGAATTTTAAAATGCTCAGTGCACTTAGGGAATAATTGCCTAATGGCTGAGAAGGCTCCACAGGGGACCCTGGAAGGTGGTGTGCTCGGTCCTGTGCTGGGGGGTGTCCTGCAAAGAGCTGAAGGATGAGTACATCCTCTTCCTCACCATCAAATTTACGCTTGGTATCCCAGGGCCTCAGGCAAAGGTTTCCCAAGCAGTTAGGGCCTCCCTGTGCCTACCACAGTGTCACAGTGTCCGTGCCTCTGGCACACCAGTGGTGTGAGCTCAGTGCCAGTGCCACAGGGAGTCACGATCCTGCTTCCATCCTCCACCCCACTCCACAAATGTTTCATCCTCCACAGCTCCACACCTTTGGGAGTGTCCAGGGCATCCCACACCAGGTCCATCATGGGCAAGGGCTGGGTCACTGGTCTCTGCCTTCCTGACAAGGGGAGTGTAACAGTGGGCTTTTTCTGTCCTGACAGTAAGAAACCAAGATGCTCCTTAAGGAAAGGATCCCTGCCCAGGACACATGATGGAGCACCGTGGACAAGGTGAGTGCCTTGGCTGCAAAATGAGATCCCGTGCTTTCAGCATGGCCGGATGGAGAAGCTTTCCCTTGGCTTCCAAATGCATTTTGCAATTATTAGGCAATAATTCAAGCTCTGTTCATCTCCCCCGTACACCAGAAAAAACAGTAACACTCTCGGCATAACAAGATAATTACCGTCCCTTCAAGGCTCTTGGGAAAAGTTGCCTCTGCTTCGTGTTTAGGAGATTAAATGAGCTGAAATCATTCCCGGGAGGTAGGATGGATCCACAGGGTGAGCAACCCCGCCTGTGCTGTATGAGATGCTGTGTAACGTGGAGCTGTGCTTCCACCAGCACCAGCAAGCCTTTCCTTTGCTGCTGGGAGGGATCCCAGCACATCCCAGAGCGGATTCCCCTCTGTTCCCTTCCTCAGGGAGAATCCCACCAAAACTCCTTTCACACGGGGAGCCCCACTCCAGAACACCAGCACCCATCAGCTTCCCGGGGGGGTGCAGCACGACCCGAGACAGCTCCAGTTCCATCAGCGGCCTCAGCGTATCCCTGAGGAAATAGAGGGGATGGGCCAGTGATCTCAGTTGCTCTTTTGGCGCCATTGTTGTTTAGCTGGTAAATATTTCCTTTAAATGCTTACATGCTTTCGAAAAAATTACAAAACTTAATGGGAACAAATATTCCCAGGGGGCTGTATCCTGCCATTCATTCGCACATCAGATCCCCGCTATCTTCAAGAATGGCTCTGTGCATGGGCAGGCGCCTAAGTCATTTGAAAAACAATAAGCCTCTGTGCTCTAATTTTCCAGACAAAAATGTAGACAAAACAAGTGGCAATTTGGCACAAACCGAACTGCTTTGATAAATAACTGGGCATTTTAAGAGGAGCAGCCTGTAGGCAGCTGGGATGGGCTGCCTGAGCTGTGCCGGGGCAGGTGTTGCCCAGCCGGAGCTGAGCCCAGTGTGTCACCCTTGGGAGTCTCTCGGGGTCGATCCTCACATGGCTCCACAGCTGGGGGGCCCTCCAAGGAATCCTGTAATCATCCTTTAGGGCTCGCTGAAAACCAGCCTCCCTGTCCTGGCAATTTATTGCCGGCTTCTGCAGGACTTCGCTGTTGTAATGAGCTCAGGGGGATTAACGGGGCACGGCGGGAGGCTGTGGACCAGGTCTCTAACCTAGGGAAACACGTCTCCTCTTAAAATTATACGTGCTCGTGGGGAGTGCGGAACCAGCCACAATATTTTTTAGCAAAGGGAAATAAATTTGCCCTGGGCACTGCACTGGCGATGGACCATTTCCCCGGGGAGTCTGAACACCCCTGGGCGAGGGGCCGGGGGCTGCGCTGGGATCTCCCCCTCTTGCTATAATCCCCTGCCCACCCAGGCGAGCTGGGCCATAGGGGGTTCAGGGACCTCGTGTCCTCGCAGTGTGGGGCACGCCGGGGCTGAGGGGCTCAGCCTGACGTGGAGTCACCAGGTAAGGCTCCAGATCAATCCAGGGCAGGGGTTTCTTGCAATCCCGCCTCTATCAGAGGCAGCGAAAACTCACGGGGCGCACCACCAGCGTGTCCCACCACCCCAGGCTGGGCTCCTGGGGGGGTCCTGCCCTGTCCCCGCATGACTCCCCCCCCCCGCAAGAACTGATTTCTCCGGCGGTCTTGCCGTGTCCCCAGATGTTCCCGGGGCGCCGGGGGCAGGTGGCGGCCGGCGGGGCGGGGGCAGGCGGAGGCTCCCCGGGCCCCGGCGCTTCCCCCCGGCCGGGAGGCTCCACTTTCCTCCCCGCCGGGAGCTCATTGGGCCGGGGCGGAGGGACCGGCTCGGGCCGGGGGAGGAAATGCGCGGGGGGCCGCGGCGCGGCGGCGACTCCGCGGCTCCGGCACCGCCACCGGTGAGTCCCGGCGGGCACCGCCCGGCGCTCGGCACGGCCGGAGGGGCCGCGGCCGCATCCCCCGGCGGGGAGGGGCGGGGGGTGCCGGCGGAGCGGAGCTCGGTACCGCAGCGCTGGGAGGGCGGCCGGGGGGGCCCCTGGGCCGGCGGAGGGGCTGCGGGGCTGCGGGCAGTGCCGGGGAGCGGGGATGGGGCTGCTGCGGCCGCGATGAGCATCCCTGCGCCGCGTCCTGGCAGCCCCCCGGGGTACCCGTGTCCCTACAGTTCTTGCAGCCCCCCGGGACACTCGCGTCCCTTTACACGCTGTGACACCCGGGATACTCGCGTCCCTGCAGTTCCTTCAGCCCCCCGGGACACCGGGTCCGCGCAGATCCTCGGACACCCGCGTCCCCGCAGCCCCCAGCGGCCTCCGGGGGTCCCCGCAGCCCGCTCCGTGATTCCCGGATCCCCGCAGCCGCTGCGTGATAACGGTGTCCCTGCAGCCCCCGCGGTCCCGTGTCCCTGTGTGCCGCCGCACCGTGCCGTACCCCCGGAGCCCCCTCCGCCGTTCCCCCTCCCTTCTCCCCGCTCCATAGTACCCGCATCCCCGCGTCCCGCTCCATCCCGCCCGCACCGCGTGCCGTGCCCCGCGGTGCCGCATCCCAGCCTGCGCAGGGAACAGCTGGAGGTGTCTGTAAGGAACAATCCATCCCCCTGCGGCTGGTGCAGACCCTCTCCAGGAGGGTTTGGCTCTAAGGGCACAGGCCAGGGCCAGAGCACGGCTTGGAGCCACGGTTTCACCTGCAGAACCAGGCCAAGCTGTTGGGAAAAGTGCAGCCTGTGAGGTTTATTGCATCCTCCCGAGGGGCTGGATTGTCTCGTATCCCTTTGCAGGCAGAGCTCGATTCCTCCTGCTGCCATCAGCTGGATCTTTAGTCTTGGTTCCATGGGCAGAGCTGCACAAAGTGCTGCTCACCTGTGCGGTGGGTTGTGTTTGCCATTGGTGGCTGTGGCAGGTGAGGCAAGGGCAGACTTAGGAGAGCTATAGGAATATTTCTGGCTGGCAGGAGAAGGATCCCCAGACTCACAGGAGCACGTGGCCAGCCAAGGAGCCTTTGCTGACTCCTGAAGCAGCAGAAACTTAGAGGCACCCGCATAGTTTCACTTGCCAGACCTCTTCATTTGAGGGACTACAAAGGCAGTGACCAAAAACTATTTTTTTTAACATCATAAAAAGATGTTTCTTGGGTTATATGTGTTAAAAGAGCAATATTAGAATAGGTGGTGGCAACAGGTTGGAAGATCTTCAGTGGCTATAAAGAGGCTGATTTTCATAAAATTATAGAAAAGACAAGTATAGACTATCATGTTTTGCACTTTTGCAACTTTTTCTTGTATGAAGCGACCATAGTTTTATGACCCAGAGGGATCCTCTGAACACTCGAGGTAGGGCAGTGCTGCTCCATTTCAAAGTGAAAAAACAAACCGTCTGTATTTTAGGCTCGTGCCCTGCGTTTCTTGCTGTCCCCACAGGGAAAGCTCCAATGGCAGCCACGGGAATCCTGTGGGAGGACGGAGATGGTTGGCAGAGTTTGACTTAGAGACTTCAGAAGAAGCACTGCTGGCCTGGGGATCTGGGATTGTAGGGAAAATATGTGTCCCAGTATAGCCCTGGGAAAAGCTGGCTGGCGGAGCAGGGGGGAGTTAGTGTGTCTGTACACCACTGTCCTTGGGATGTCTCCAGGAGAACTGGGGAAAAAGAAGGCTTCTTCACTACTTTTAAAAAACCTTCCTGCAGGTCAAGCAAGGTTTGCTTTCCTGGTGGTGGAGATGCCATAAATCAGTCATTAGGAGATGAAGTTTTGTGCTATGTTTGGAGGAGAATGGAGGACTATAGGCTCTATAGCACCAAAATCCTCCTTACATCCTCAGAACCGGGCTTGCATGGAAATATGCTGTGATATTTGACATTTGATAGTTGATGTTTGATATTAAGGAACAGGAAGGCACCAGACTGGTTTCTCTGCAGTTGTGAGTCTCCATCTTTCCATGTTTAAGTTTCTCTGCCTGCACAAAGGAAAGGATGATCCTGAGTGCCTCAGAGGAGGGATTTGAGACCTGCAGGCTCTACAGATATATGGTGGCTATCCCTAACAAGTCGTCTCAGAGTTAGGAATTAATCCTAATGGAGATTGGGGATCCACCTGCAACTTTCCAGTCCAATCCCACCCCAGAGCACTTGGGGATTTTAGCAAGTTGGTTTGCAGTCACCATATTTCCAGTCTCAGAAGGAGGTTTCTTGTGTTGCCTCCCTTTTCTCAAGGTTTAATCAGAACAACAGATTCTTTCTTTAATTGGTGTATGTTTAAGGTGGGTTTCTTTATTTCTTCCTCCTTCAGCTGCTGCCATCCGGAGGCCAACTGGTTTGTTTAAATGCAATACTGTTTAAATTAGATATTGTTACTGACCTTCTTCTGCCTTGTTTCATGTTTGTCCTCAGCTAGAAAATCAAAAGCTCTTTATTTGTGGCTCAGATCTGACTCTGCAGACGGTACATATGGCCCTTGCAGCACTTTTCTCTGGCACGAACTTGTATTTTAAAGAGAAGAAGATCAGATTTCAGTGTGTTATGTGGTGGGAAAACATAGCTTTACAATGCTGTGTGGATTAAGAAATTAGGGGCCATTGTTTTGCCCTCACTGCCTAGAATTAGCAGAGTGTTTCGGGCGACACAGGTCCCTTCCCTGTCTCTCAACACTGAGTGGACCCTGGTGCTGTGAGAGCCTCTCCAGGCATCCCCTGGGGTAAATCACCACCACAATATTGAGATGAGTGGGGAAAAGTGGGTTTGTGCCTGGAGGAGCTCCCTCCTTTCCAGGGGTGTGTCCCCCTTTCCAGGGGTATGTCAGATGTCACCAGCTGGGGAAGGACATGCATGTTCACACTGCTCTTCTCCTGTTTGCAGGGTTCCACGCTGAAGGACAGGACATGTGGTAGGAGGCAGCACATCCCACTGAAGAGCGAGAGCTGGTCGTGCTGCACAGCCCGGGGTGCTGTGGGAGGGACAGGACATGTGCCACCTCAGCTGCCTCCTCTCGGGACTCCTCCTCATCCTCAGCACCACCAGCACCGATGGCTTTGCCCGGGCAGGGTAAGGCCCCATTCTGTCTGCACCTCCCAGGTGTGCCCATGTGCATGTCATGGTGAGGCACATCCTCCCCAGGTGAAGAGCCCTGTTTGGCAGCATGGACATGGGCAGCTCCCCGGGCTGGTCAGGAGGTGGAAGAAGGCTCTGGCAGCCCTTTGCTGGTTGTTTGCTTTGTCACTGAAGCTAAAAAACCTCTCAGAGAAAATGCCCGTTTAGCTCCAGGCAGGGACACAAAGACACTCTGGGCTTTTTGTTCGTGAGAGTCAAAAGGTGATCAGGAATTATTATTATTGTCTCTTTCAAGCACATCCTTCACAAAAATATTTGTGAAATCTTGCTATCAATCACAGCAGCTGAGCCTTGTAAAAAAGTTGTCAAAGGAGGATGCAGCTCCCATCAGAGGAGGATGCAGCTCCCAGCTCTGATGGACACAACATCTAGGGGACACGGGTGTGGAATGCCCTGGTGGGCTGGTGCCTGCTGCGCCCAGGATGGTGCTGTGGTCCATGATCCTGCAAATCCAGCAATTTCCCTTCCCTTTCCAGGAAAAGGGTCTGACCTGGCACTCGGGATCCCAGTATAGGCTGGGCAGGCACAGCTCAGCTCCCACTGCATCAGAGGAAGCCCAGAGCTCAGTGCCCCAGATTCTTCCCCAACCAAGAGGAGCTGGAGCTCAACATCCACCTCTAGATACAGCTCACATTTTCTACAAAGTTTGTTTTTACACTGAAATGCTCCTCCAGCATCAAACCTTTCACATTCTGAAACCACAGCTGAATTCCTCACTCTCACGCACAGGCTGCAACCAGAGCTTTATTCTAAATTTTGCAAAGCAAACAATTGCCATTTAAAAATTGCATTTTCTATAACATTAATCACGAGGCTGAGAGGAGTTCTCTGGAGTTAATGGAAGCCATCTGATGTCCATGCTAATTCCCAGGCTTTTTATTTTAGTTTCTAATTGAGCTGGGAGGCTGAGATGAGGGGATGAGTTCCTCAGTGGGACTGACCTGCTTGGGCTGAAAAATGTTGAAAAAGAGGGTATTTAACCAAGACCACTTTGGCTGTTAACCTTGGGAAAGTTTTTGGCTGGATAACAGTTATCTTAGGATATCTTAGGAAGGCTGGAGGGCCCCTTTCATCTAGCCTCTATTTTTTTTTGCGGTGAGCCTGACCCTGCCTGTGAAGTCATTAATTTCTTAGTGACCACAGAGGCATCTGTTTCAGGAATGCAAAAGTCTCAGAAAGGAAAAATCCACCCAGAAAATGAGTAATTTTGGGGGAAGGGAGATGATGAATGGAATGAGTAAATAATCCCTAAATCTGAGTCCTGACTGCTCCCCTGGGACAGAGGGACCGTGCTGGGTGAATGTTCGAGGAGGCATCAGTGCCTTGGCACAGGGGCAGGGGGGGGAGTGCCTGTACAGCCCAAAGTGCTCCAGATTTGGGCCAGTGCCCCAAAACAGCTTGAAGTGGCCTCCCAGGGCACTGGGGCAATTAGGCACTGCTGTTTCACTCACCCTCTGCAGAGAGGGGCTGTCAGGCCCCGTCCTGGCGGGTGAGATGTGACCCTGTCCCCTCTGCTCAGCCGCAGGGTCTGTGCCGCGGCGCCGCAGAGCCGGGCGGGCGCCTACACCGAGTCCCACGTCCAGCCCGTCTACCAGCCCTACCTCACCACCTGCCAGGGCCACCGTGTCTGCAGCACCTACAGGTGAGGGCACTGCCTGTGCCACGGACCTGCTCCCAGTGTGGCAGCAACTGGGGGGGCTGTGGGAGGGGGCAGTCCTGCCTCGATCCAAAGGGACGAGGCTCCCAGTGCCTGGTGGTGGGTGCCAGTGCAGGGAACAGGATGCTCGATCCAAAGGGACGAGGCTCCCAGTGCCTGGTGGTGGGTGCCAGTGCAGGGAACAGGATGGAGGCTTGGGGAAGGTGCTCTGGCACCCGGCTCAGCCCCATCCTTGCACTGCAGGACCATCTACAGAGTTGCCTATCGGCAGAGGTACAGGCAGCTGCCTGAGCCCGTGGCCTCGTGCTGTCCCGGCTGGAGCAGAGCAAACACTCACACGCCCAGCTGTAACAGAGGTAAGAGGTTGCTGGACCAGTGCTCATCCCCAGATCCCTCGTGTTCCTGGAGGAAGCCCATTCACCAACACTCTGCCTGTCAGGTGGATTCTCCCTCTAGGAAAGCATTTAAATTTTAAACATCACAACCAAATGCAGTTCAATATCTGATTAATTCCCAGCCTTTCTCTGCTGTCTCTTGGGCCTTTTTCCTTTGGGATTGCTCATTACCTCTATAGTTAACAGCGGATAAATAAAGCGAGTAATTCCTTTCCACATAAATCAGCAGTAATGGAAGAGAAATGCTTTCAGGAGGCCACAAATGCAAACCACAGCAGCAGTCAGTCCATCCCCTGACAAGCTCAGTCCATCACCCTCCTCCCTCTGTCCTGCTGCCCCTGGGCTGGTGCTGGTGTGTGTTTTGAGGTGTGCAGTGTGTGTGTTGCATCCAGGGTGGGAGGGGGGAGCTCAGGACCCCCAGAACTGCCGGGTGACGCTGTGCTGGTGTTTCCTCTCACAGCTCTCTGCTGGGTGCCGTGCCAGAACGGCGGGAGCTGCACCTTCCCTGGCAGATGTGCCTGCCCACCCGGCTGGACGGGGCGAGCCTGCCAGACAGGTACTGGCCATGTCACTCCTCTCCCTGCTCTCTGTGCTGCTGCTGGAAGAGCTCGCCTTGGGAAGCATCAGAGCTGCTGCCATGGGGCTTTGGTTGTCCTTTGACCATGCACCGACCCCTTAGTGGGGACAGGGACCAGCACTGTGGCTCCTTACCAGACCTCGGGACGTGCCTAGTGCACACACATACACAGCTCCATGGCATTGATGCCTGATGGTCTGGCCAGGAAAGGGTGGGAAGCCTGGCTCCCAGGGGAACTCCCTTTGGTGAGCTCCTCAGTGCTCCCAGTCCTCATGTGCAGCCCTGGCACCCACATTTTCTCTCCGCTTCTGATCAGAGCGAGCAGAGCTGTGAGCACACCAGCAAGAGCCTTTCTGCAGCACAAAAACCTTGTGGGGCTGGCCCGAGGTTGTGTGCTTGTGATCCTCCCTCTCCCAGGCTTTGTAAACTCTTGCTGTAAACTAAGACACCCATTTACTGCAGGGACTAAATCTGTAAATATCCAGGGGTGGAAGGGAAGCCTGGCAGTCTCCAGGCACCAGGCTCCTCTCCAGCACAGGAGCAGCCCGATGCTCCTCACAGCACAGGGAAATCGGGCAGGGTGGAGCACACCAGTGGTGCAAAGCCCCTGCCATGGCATTTCCCAGCTTCTCCCAGCTTTCCACCCTCCTGTGAGGCAGAGGAGGAGTGTGTGGCATTGACCCATGCTGGGCTAGGCAGAGCTGAGCCCATCACTGACAGCTACGGCTCCAGCGCAGGAGGAAAAGATTTTCCCACTGCCTAAAACAGTGCTCGGGCGTGGGAAGCGGTTCAGCTCATTCTGCTTTGTGGGAACAGCTCTAATAACTCCCCCGTGTGAGGAGAGGTTACTGGGTTTTGTACACACTTGAAAGGCTGATGGCTCCTCACCACAGCTGGCTGGAACCAAAACCCTGGCCGTAAATCCAGGATGAGAGCCGGGCGCTGCCTGCGCCTGCCTGGCCAGAGCCAGGACGTTTCTGACCACAGCTTTTGCTTCTGCTCTGTTGTGGGGGGAGTGGGCAGAAGGGAGGAGGCCAGATCCCCCTCGGGCTTAGCACAGGTTTATCCAGCTGGGCTGTCCCAGATGCTGGTGGTGCTGAGACACCCAGAGCTGTGCCCAGCACAAACACCAGCACATTCCGGGGACACTTGCTGAAATTCCATTGCAGCCCCCCATGCCTAAGCCATTTGTGCCACTCACCCCTATCCCTCCTGCCCTCACTGAGTCATTCCTGTGTTTCAGATGTGGATGAATGTGCCAGCCAGAGCCATGGCTGCAGCCAGCTCTGCGTCAACACAGCCGGGAGCTACCGCTGCACGTGCCAGGATGGCTTTGCCCTCGCTGCTGATGACAAGGACTGCCGGCCCCTGGTGCCAGTGCCCGAGATGGACACCTTCAGCCAAGCAGGTAACCTGTCCCCCCAGTGCAGCCCCAGCTGCTCTGGGCCTTCAGAGAGCTGGGGTTAACACTCAGCATCACTGGCTGGAGCAGCTGTGGCCAGAGAGGGGACGACAGCCAGAGAACCCCTCGGCTTTATTCTTGGTGGCCCAGGAGTCCCTCTCCCACCCAAACAACTTCCCCTGTGCACAAATCCGTCTGTGAGAGTGACACAGCCTGGCTGTGGCTTGTGGTGTCCGGGATGTGCCTGTTCTCTCCATCACCATCATCGTTCCCACAGGGCAGGTCTGGAGCCTCGAGGAGCGGCGCTGGTGACGGCCCATTATTACTTTTGGTACGCGCTGTGACACTTCAAACTCGTACCGTGAGTAATAATGCGCTGTGGCCAGCACGGGCATCACGCAGCAAACACCTGGGAGAGCAGGGCACTGCCTGCATGTGCCATGCCTGCCTTTGTCCCTGTCCTGGGCCCTCAGCAGGATCGACTCCTTGTGCCCACCGTGGGACAGGGCACACTTGGGTGCTCTCTGACAACATGGGTGCCAAAGGCCAGGCTCCACCAGACACCTTGTCCTTCAAGCATCACCCCGTTACCAGAAGAATCCCCCGCTTTGTTGCAGGTGCTCCAGCAGCAGGAGAAGCCTGTGCCATTAGCAGCTGGACTAGATGCCAGTGCTTGCAGCAGATGTTGAATCCAGCTGATGCTCTGGGGCCTGATTCCGGCAGGGCAGACCCTGGGGGCTCACTGAGAGGGCAGGGGAAAACAGCAGAGCTTGGCCTGAGCCCTGCAGAGATGTCTTTCTCCCCAGCACCTTCCACTTCACCTTGGGCAATGGGCTTTTACTGACTGACCTTCCCCTGGTCACTTTTTCAGGTCCCTCCAATGAAGTGAAGGAAGAAATGAATGACCTGAGGAGCCGAGTGGAAGCGCTGGAGCAGGTGACTTCCAGCACACCCCTCTACCCTGCCCTGCTGCTGCTCGAGGCTGTGCTGAGCCAGCTCCCACCCCGGGCTGTTCACAGCCAGGGTTTCCCTCTTCCCCAGCTCTATTTTTAACACAGTGCTGGCCTCGGCAGCGATCCCAGCAGCAGTCCCAGCTGTGCTCCACGCTGCCGGCAGCACCCACGCCGCGGCTTTTCCAGCCCAGCAGCCCTTTGAACACCACCAAAGCCCCACGAGCCTGACCTGGTGGGTGCTGCATTCCTTCAGGAGGTCCTCCTGGTGTGGGGGGGACACACTCATGGCTCCCCTTCTCCCCGCAGAAACTCCAGCTGGTGCTGGCCCCTTTCCACAACCTCATGCCATCAGCGCCGGAGGACGTCGGCACAGACCCCATCAGCCGACTGTCCCACTCCCTCCAGCAACTGGACAGAATTGACTCCCTGAGCGAGCAGATCTCTTTCCTCGAGGAGCGGCTGGAAACGTGTAAGTGCCTGGAAAATCAGGGCTGAAGGATTTCCCTCCACCCACACTGGCCACAGTGAGCAGATGCAGGCCAGCGAGATCAGTAACACATATGCCACTGTTAATCTAGATCTCCCTCAAGCTCAGCAGCCTGCAATTAATAAAAGATGAACACAAACAGCCCATTAGCTTCATTTCAAAGCCGTTTCTGTGGCTGCACCATCTGACTGCCCATGTAGCAGCCAAAAATTGTAAGGTTGGCACAAGGAAACGTGGCTGCCGGGCAGAGCAGAGGGAGCCACTGTGAGCAGTGGGTCACGTCTGGCAATCAGCACTGCAGTCCCTTCCTGTATCCTTGTAATTTGGTCCTTAGAAAAGAACTCCCAGCTCTTAGGAAATTAACAGTCCAAGAAGTCAATCAGGGAAATTTAGGGAGCGTGCAAAAGTTGGCAGATTTACGAGCCTGGGAAGTTTTGGGCATTTCTTTTTGAAGCCTACAGACCAAGCAGTGCACCAGAGAGGGTCTCCCAAGTAGCAAACTGAGCAAGAGACCTCAGTGAGAGTTGCCATGGGTGAAGTGGCTGGAGGTGGGGGGGTCCTGCCTGGCATGTCCCCCCATGGCACCACAGAGAGGGGCAGCATCCCCTCATGGCCCTGTGGTGCTCTGGAGAGTGGCAGTTTGACTCCAAGCAGAGCACAACCATGTGAACACTTTATTTTGATAGGGAGCTCTTTGCAGCTCATTTTCCCATTAAATAATTCCAGAAACTAGGCATGGCTGGGCCAGCTCAGGAGCTGGTGTGCAGCAACAGCCCGGAGCTCGTGGCAGGAGACTCAAGAGAAACTGGTTCAGGGCATATCCAGTCCCAGTTCACTGCTTTCAGTAATGGCTTAGATGGAAAAGAATTCAAAGAACTTGTTTGAAGACAAAGTAGCTGCAAATAGACACTTAAAAAGCATCTCAGAAAGGGGTAATTATCAGAACCATGGAGTGTTCCAGCAGACTGAGTTTCCTAGTAGTGCTCTGTACATATTATTAGTGACAGCACTGAGGAATGTGAGCAGTATCACAAGGTAACATGGATTTATTCCAAGGGATGACTCCAAAGTGCTGAAATTAATTTTTGCCAAGCCTGCTCCAGCAAGCAAAACTTGTTTTTGTTCCTTTTCATGGTCTTGCAAGTCCCTGGAGGACACAAAACTGTCCTGTCATACTCCAGCAAGCCCTGGGGCTCGCAGGGCATCCCATGGAGTTACTCAGCCATCCACGTTCTGTGCCTGGTGAAGCATTTCACAACTGAATGCTACAATAAAACTGCACTCCCCAATTAGCTGCTCAGTGGGGGTGTGTGTAAGGACCAAGAAAAACTACTTTCTCTTTAAACCACCAGCAAAGGCACCAGAGGAGAGCTCTTGAAGTCATAACCACTTTGGCCTCTCTAAGTCTGAATTAGCCCTGATCCAGCACAGACTGTCACTGTTACTGTCACTGGCTTTGGGACACTGCACGCAGGGCCCAGGCAAGGACTGTGACACACCAGGGAGGTGAGAGTGACACTCCCTAGTGTGGTGGGACAGAGCTAGCCTAGGGTTGTTTGCCAAAGGGAAAGCTGCAAGTGTGGGTGATATTCACAGAGGTTTAAGGTCAATCTGCTTGGGAAAGAGACAAACCAAACCCAGGCTACGGATGTTGCTGAATTGTTTCTTTTTTTTCCATCTTCCCAGGTTCCTGCAAGAACGAACTCTAGCTGAACACCCGAGGCCTTGGAACAAGCCGAGTGCATCCGCAGCTCTTATCTCACTCTCCAGCCCCAGGCTGGGGACAAAGCCACATCATCTACAGGAAGGCACATGGTACCAGGAGAAGGCTGGTTTCCCATCAGCATCTCCATAATTTTCTCTTCCAGCTCACCTTATCAAAGGTCACGCAGTTACTTCCAAACTGGATTCCGAGCCCTCCACATCTCCCCCCTTTCCTGCTGGAGACGCAGCAAATAAATGCCTTACCTCGTGCCACGAGTGCCTGGTTGTGCCAGACTGCCTGTGTGTGAAGCTGAGTTTGTTTAGCTTTGCCTGGCTTTTCCTTAGCATTATATGCCAGGCCGTGCTCTCCCAGGGAGAGCAGGGCAGTGCTTCCCCACACTGCCCCGACTTGCTGTCACGTGGAAAAAGTGGGGACAAGTCCTTGCAGCCCCGAGATGTCACGGCAGGGGACAGGTGCACATGGTCCCTGCACTGGGTACAGGGAGTGGGTGCCCATCCCTGTGGTTTGGGGAGTAGAAGCACAGCCCTTCTGCCTGGGGGGCACAGGGAGGGACAGGGACCCCCCACTGCCCCTCAATCACCAAACTCCCTTCCTGCAAGAGCTGAGGGATCAGCACCCCACCTCCTCCTCCCTCAGCTCCCACACAAGACCAGGAGGCTCCTTTATTTAAATAATCATAGGTGTAATTTTTTTTTGTAAAGCACATAACATCCTCAACCCAATTAAAAGTGAACAGCAGACGACTGCACACAGAGGCACTGCTCCCTCCTCCCAGGAGGAGTCAGACATGGTTACCATCCCTCAGGAGCCCTCCCAGGGCCCTCCTGGGTTTCCCCTCCATGACAGCCCTTTATCTGCCACTCTCACAAAGTGCTGGTTTGGTTCCCATCCTCCCACCCCGACCCATCCCACAGAGGGTCTGACCCCTGAGTCTGTACCATAAGGCCCCTCCAATAAAGCCCCTGCCAGCACCAGCTCGGCCCAAGGGCTCCCTCCACAGAATTCCCTGCCTTTCCCAGTTGAGGCTTTAACCCCAAAATACCATATAACTGCGATTCCACTAACACAGGCTGCAAAAGCTGATCGTGTTGGTTACCTGAGTAGCCCCAGGTGGCTCATCCCAAGGTCCCCTGTGCCATGAACAGCAGAGCTAAAGGTAAAGGAACTGCGGACCTGACCCAGCCTTCGAGGGCATCAACACACTTCCACAGCTCCCAGTGAGGGATCCAGGAGCTCTGTTGGTCCATCCATCACCCCAAAGCACAGGGGAACCCCCTTTATCTGACCGGGAAAGGCATTCATGTCCCCAAAAGGGAGAGGTGAAGCCTCCCAAGCCCTGTTCCAGCTGCAGCTCACCCACCCTGTGGCTCCGAGGGGGTTTTACAATCCTCGGAGAGCGGCAGAGACACGCGGGACAGGCACCATCTTTCGGCCGGTGCTGACCATGACAAGTGACAAAACGAGCCCGACAGAGCCCTTTGCATCTGTAAGGGGGCACTGCAGGCACCGAGATTGTGGCCAGGCTGAGCCACCACCACGGCAGGGAGCTGCCAGCAGTTTCCCAAAACAAGATGCGGTTGGCATCTGAAGGAGACAGGCCCGTGAGTCCCGCTGTGCCGGATGGCAGCGCTCTGGGCTGTCCGGGGGGGACACTGCATTCCCAGCACTGCTGAAAAGCCAAATCTGCATTTTCACCCAATTCTCGGCCCTCTCTGAGCATCAAGGTTGTGCAGATACAAACTGCTGCCTGGTGGTTTCCATCTGGGACATCACAGGGCTGAGCCTGCAGGAACACACGTGCAGGGACACTCACGTGAGGCAGAGCCCAGGCTCCAGCCAGGTTTTTGCTGTCACCCTATGCCAGCTGCCTGAGCCGGCGGAACTCACCCCTCTGGTCATTGAGCCCTTTGGTAGCACAAGTTTGATGCCTGAGAAATTCAGAAAAAGGAGACGTTTCATAGTGAGAAAATGAACCCATAAGACAAATCCGCTCGAAGGGAAACCTCAGTGCTGGCTTGACACCCTGTGTGTGCCAGTCCACGGTGTTCCCAGAGTTAGAAGTCACTGCAGAGGAAGAGAAGTTCCTTCAGTATTTGGCAACAACAAACAAGTCCCTTCAGCCACCACCACACGGTGACATCACTGGAAAAGCCTCTAGGACGAGTCCTTGGCCTCGCTTGGACGGCCCGACAGCCTGAAGAGGGTCTCCCTCATGGTGCAGAAGCATCTGTCAGTGAGGTCGGTGACATCGTCTGATGTCAGGCCTTTGGTCTCTATTGGGGGCAGAACCTCCACCTTGATTTTGCCTGGGAACAAGAGAGGAGCCCGTGAGAAACCCACATGCCACAGGAGCTCTGTTCCCTGCTCTGCTCCCTGCCCTGGGCAGTCCCAGCATAGCCCTCATCCCGTCTCAGGGCTTCAGGCATCCATCCCTGGAGTGCAGACAGAGGCTGATCCGTGGTTAGACCAAGAGCTGTGCCAAGTAGAATATTCCCCTTGTGCCCCAAATTGCCACCCCAGCCAGAGCCTGCCCAGAAAAGGAGAGGTGGTATCCAATCTTTAATGAAAACATCCCTCAGTGTATTTAATTACAGCCTTTCCTGAACTAACCCAGCCCAGGCTCTGGTGCCAAGTGCTTTGAACTGAGTCCAAACATCTCCCAGCGGGACTTCTGTTCACCCCAGCTCTGCTTCCCTCCCACACCCTTGTGAACCAGATCTCCACAGGAGACAACATCAACACTGTCTCCAAGTGACTCTTTGGTACCTGATGTAAACAGTTTCGTCTTTGGGTTATAGAAGGTGGTGAAGGAGGAATACACCACAGGGATCACGGGGACCTTGGGGAAGGAAAGAAAAAGAGGAGTTACTTGCACTGCAGCAACTCAGGCTGGCCAGAGACAGGCAGCAAATCCCACACAGCAGAGCTGACCTGGCCTGGCTCTCAGACACACAGGGCACACACAGCAAGACTCACTTCCAAAGGCTGGGACAATTAGGAGTCAAACAGGATCAAAACCACTCCCCAGCAACTCAAGGCACAGGGATACTCAAAGAACTAGGGCCAAGTTCCACTTCAGCCTCAGGTCAACACTGACTTTTAGGGCTCCTCATCCCAAGCCAGGCTTCAAAGCTTGGGTATTGTCTGTCCTGCAAACAAACACTGCAGGATGTCTGTTCTGCCAGGCCCTGCCTGCTGTACCAGCACGTGTCTGGGGCAGGGCAGTTGCTGTGCCTTCAGCTTCTAAGAAAAGGAGTCACCAGTTGCCATCAATTGCTCCCAGGGAAGCTTCAGGCAGAGCCAGGGCCAGGAGGGCAGGCACAGAGTCGTTATTCCATACTGATAACACAGACAGGATCTACAGTAGGTGACTCAGGGGGGTGTAGCAGAGGCAGGTACCAGTTCCACTGACATCCTTCCCTTCCAGCAGCTGCCAGGCCCTGCCTTGGCTGCGTCACCCAGGCAGGAATGGGGATGGTACAACACAGGCTGCACCCTGGGTTTAGTTAGTCGATCTCAGCAAGAGATCTGGCACCTACTCCCTTCTCCAGAATCCCTGCTGTAACATCTCTCCTAGGGAAACCGATTTCCCCTGAGGCCTCGAATCATCCCAGTCCCTGGCACACTGCCCCAGTGCCCTACCCAGGCAAGCAGCCCCCTCTGAGAGCATGGACAGCTCTGGCTGGCTGAAGCCAAGGAGTTGTTTGCCTGCTCCCCCACTGACTGTTCATGGATGTTGTCACTTTGGGGAAAAAAGACATACCAAGAAGTGCCATATGGCCATCAGGGAGGGAGCAGCTATTTCCACACAGAGCAAGCCCAGATGTTGCTATAAAGCATGAGCATTAACAATCCTGAATCAACTCTGCCCTATTGCAACCTGGGGGATTGAGAAATGCATCGACAGCTTTGGGATTCCCCAGGAAAGCACCCACTGAGCTCCCTTCCCGGAAGGAGCTCTGGGCTGCAGCCATGCCCCCAGGAGCCCCTGGGCACAGGCACTGCCAGGAAAGCCTGGAGTGAGGGTCAAGTGTGCCTGCCCTGCAGATGGAACATTGGGACTGGGGCAGGCAGGAGAGAGGAAAAGGCAGCTCTCCACTGCCTGCAGCCACCTGTCCCCAGGGTCAGGTCACTCCCACAGGGGATGGAAAAGGCTCTTGGCTCCTTCTGGGCAGCACTTCTGACACCTAACAGTGGTTTACCTGGGGAGGTGTTACCTGGGAACCTGAGAGCAAATAAACCACACACTGCATGACCAGCCTGGAATGCCACTGCAAAAGCACTCAGGGTGCCTGTGCAGGGGCAGAGCACTGTTACCTGTGCCTGGACAGCGAGGTGAAATGCTCCTTTCTTGAACGGCAGCAAATCCCCAGTGCAGTTCCTTGTGCCCTCTGGGTACACCCACACCTTCAGCTGCACATGGGAGAGACAAGGCTTAACTCCAGCAATCCACCTGCAGTGCCCCGAGCTGCCAGCCAGCTTTGCCAAGAGCTGCAGGTGGCTGTGACTCCAGGTCAGCCAGCACCAGGAGTTGCACATGCCCCCGTGCCACCCCGGGGTGCCCAGACACAGGCCACCCCACCGAGCCCCACGGCCACACTCACGTTCTCATTTGCCATGGTCTTGGCAACCTCAGCCATCACCATCTTGGCGCTGCTGGTGCTCTTCCTGTTGATGAAGATGACGCCGCCGAGGTAGATGATGAGCCCCACGGTGCCCGTGTACATCAGCTCCTTCTTGCCCACCTGGACACAGTTGTCAGGCAGGATCTCCATCAGCCCTAATGGGATGGCAGAGGGCAAGACCCAGCAGTCACCCTGCCTGCCTGCACCTCAGGTGGGACAGGGACACGAGCTGAGGTTGGGAGGGGACAGGGAAAGGCTGATGCCTTGTTTCAATCCTGGCTTCCGCTGCCACCAGCAGAGCAGGAGACTTGGCACACAGCAGTG